TAAAAATAAGATTAAAAAACATCTTTGTCATGAATTTAAATAATTTTTTAATAATTTTTACTATTTGTTTATATATAATAATAAGAGGTATATATTATTTATCCAAAATAAATAATAAAAAATATTTAATAAATTTATTCAATTATTTTTTTATTGTCTATTTTGTATAAATGATATATATTACTTATTATTACATTATAATATACTTGCTTGGCTTAACCAAATATTGGATATTTTAATAATAAAATATGTTATCAGTTAAATCAAACAAATATATTATTTGACTTAATATATAAAAGTAGTTAAAGAATGTTTAAATAAGAAAAACTAAAAAAAAGTTTAAACTAAAATAAAAATACTATAAAATAACTAAACTATAAATCAAAAATAACAAGATTTATTTGAGTATAAATTAAAAATATCAATAATTGTTGCGGCTGAAGCTGGAAATGGCTGAAGCTGGAAATTTTAAATATTTTAATATGAAATTTTCAAATTTTTTTGGGGTGCATTTTTTTAGCTTTTTTTTAATGGTTAGATTAGGATTTAGGGTTAGTTTTGATAATGAAAGAGTATAAGTAGATTTTGGCAGGGTTTATATTTTTAAATCAGAGTCCCTGATTTCCCGCTTCAGCCGTTTCCAGCATCAGCCGCGACAATAATTTTATAATAACAATGCAATAAAAATACTATAAAAATACTATAAAAGCACTATATAACTTTTGGCATTTTTTAGTAAATTCTCCTGTAAACTTTTAGTATTATTTTGATAAACTCTTCTTAAATTTTCTTGTGAACTTTAGCATTTGTTGGTAATTTTCTTGTGGACTTTTGGCATTTGTTGATGAATTCTTCTGTAGACTTTCAGCACTTTCATGATGAACTCTTCTGTGGACTTTCAGTGCTTTTTTGGTGAATTCTCCTGTGAAATTTTGATATTTGTTAATGAATTCTCCTAAAAACTTTAATGCTTGTTTGGAGAACTTTTCTGTAACATTCATTGCTTTTTTGGTGAATTTTCCTATAAACTTTTAGCATTTTTTTAGTAAACACTTCTGTGGACTTTTAGCATTTTTTTTGGTAAATTCTCTTGTAGACTTTTGGTGCTTTTTTAGTAAACCTCCTGTGGACATTTGGTGTTTTTTGTGAATTCTCTTATAGACTTTTAGCATTTGTTGGTGAATTCTTCTGTAGACTTTTAGTGCTTTTTTGTAAATTCTTCTGTAGGCTTTTAGTGTTTTTTTAGTGAATTTTTATATAGTCTTTTGGTGCTTTTTTGGTGAACTCTCCTGTGGACTTATAGCATTTTTTTGATGATTTTTCTGTGAACTTACAGTGTTTTTTTGGTGAATAAAACAACAGTTTGAGAACACCAATTATAATTTTATTGTTCTTATAAAAACAGTATTTGAGTCTAAAATTTCAAACACTAGTTGCAAAACATTTATATAAAAATTTTTATATGTACTTTATTTTACTAGACCAAACAACATATAAATTTTACACAAATATCAAAAATTTACCTAAAAATAAAAAAATCAAATCTAATCATAAATATTGCAAACTTTGAAGAAGTAATCTTACTATATTCTACTTTATTATTATCTTCTAAATCTCACCAACACACCTATGATAAATGCAACTTATCTATTAATTGCAAAGTTAATAATAATTTTTATTATCTTGCAAAAGATACTCTATTACATAATAACAAACAATATTACAATCATTGCCTTAAAATTTTACCAAACCCAACAAGAATCATCTAAATATAATAACTAATCTATTCCATAACTTATACAAAAATTTACTTTAGAGATTTCGATTATATAACTAATCATTAAATTCACAAACTAAATCAACAGTGATAAAAGAAGTTAATAAGAAGTGGATAATCTAAAAAAATAATTAACGCAATATACGATCGGTGCTGCTATCGCAGTTGGAGAGAAATCGACCTCGCTACAAATAGTTATCAGGTAAAAGTGTGTTAAAGATTGGTTAATAGCGTAATGTTCTAATAAATTATAATTGCTCAATCAGATGAATTTATTGAAAGATAATTGAAAAACATATAGAATCTGTTCGCTGTCGTTGCAGCACTATCTTTTATATAACGTAACACAATTTTTTATAAATTTTAAATATATGAAGAAATCTACCAAGGAGATTTCCATATAGCTGCAAAGTGAATCGGTTTCATGATCTGACGTGAATGCTGCCTAATTAACCAAAAGTGGATTTTGCTCTTAGGCTTTAGCCACGGCATCCGTAACCCATTTAACGAAGATTTCTTGTACAACTACTGTAGACATGGAGCCTAAAGTCAAAGCCATTGCATTCCTACTGCATCTGAAGAGCCTAACTGGTGAGATCTTTGCTCTCCTACTTCATCCCGCATAGCCTAACTGGTAAGGCTCTTGCACTCCTACTGTAGCCTCGGAGCTAATTGCAGTCGCGAGATCTGACTTATCAATACACTCAGCCTAACAAACCAGCTGCCAAGCATTAGAATTATTGCTGAGTTACTGAAAAATGAAGGTGATAGGACGTCTTCCTGCGAGACGGATGATAGCAAGGAGAAAAAGATAATCTTCCTCTACACCCTAGAATACAATGCATTTAAAAACTCGTCCTTTTCTTTTCATGTTGAACTGATATAGTATGATCATACCCCTTTTACTATTATTAATTAACTAACACTTATATAGTTCGTCATTTAAAAGTCATATGCGATCATAATTCTAATTACGAAAAATCTGCATCTAATATGACACAATGCAGCAGCTCCCATTACAAAAAACAGTTAATAAAAGGCTAAAACGACAAACTAGTAGTCACGTGTGAGAAAACTGATCAATGTGATTTCACTACGTTCCTCTTACATATACTTCGTTTCACTATGTTCCTGGTACATACACTTCTTTTCACTACGCTCCTTGGTACACTTTTAATATTTAATACCGGTAATTTCGCAACATCACATAAATGATTGGATCAAATTTTATGTATTATTATCATAATCACCAAAATCAAAAAACTAATAAATTGGTGCGTCCACGATTATTGGTACGTATGTAGATTATAATTTGTATCATTATGATTATTAAAGATTATCGCATCGTGATTGGCATGTTTAATTTTGGGGACGGCTGGCAGGGATGTTAACCATCTATTTAACTTTAAACAACTTTAATGAACTTTGAAGAAATTTAGCTGCGCTACAAACCCGGCACACGTTTCCACCTTAGTCAAAAGAAAATGTGGCAGATTATGAGCAAGCATTAAAGCACGATTAGAAGTGATCAGAAATATACTGACAAAAAGACAGTAGGCGGTTTAATTAATTAACAAAATAATATATAATTTAGTATATAAACCTTATTCCGTAAATAGTTCCTGACTAATCTATTTTTAAATTTCTTGTCTGTAACAAAAAATTTTGAAAGAATACCTAATTTATTTTTTTAGGTTTCTGGCTTAGAGCATGATTATCTAACAGAAATATCTTATATAAATAAAATAACCAGTTTTGTACTGAAAATGGTATGTCTCATATGTTCAGAACATATTTGTGTACAAACAATTTTCGCTAAACCAAGATACTGGCCTAAAGATCTGCTTAGGCACTGTTGAAATGCATCAAAAACAGAATTTTTGTATCACTTTGCACAAACTCTAAAGGATCCCTGGATTAATAAGGTTTTCTTTAGAATTGTTACGCAAAATCCTGTACTGGATTTTTGTATTTAAAGACTCGAAACAAGAAAAAACATTATTCATTATTATGAATAATTCTAAAAGGGTTTTTTGGTATCTTACCTTTTTCCTCATTATCCTAATAACGAGTCACAGTTAGGCAAATGAAATCCGATACGATTTGAGCCAATATGGAGAACTAAATACTGTTGACCAATATGATGATAGAACACTTTTAATAACTACTAGAATACAGGATAATCCATATGCATTGCATCTTATTTATTCAAATGGAAGTATAATTCCTATAAATTATGAGACTGCTGTATTAAATTTTAAAGATTTAACTGAGTTTACTGTAGTTCTTAGTCATCCACTGGCAACAAATTATGTCTTATTTCTGTATTATAAAAGAACTGATTTAATAACTGACATTACCTTATATGGAACTATCATAAATTTTCAAGAAAAAATTGTCACAAAGTACGTACACTTTCTATATATAGAGATATTATATATAATTTAATAATTCATATATGAGTAACGAAAAGGGAAAACCTGTAATTCGAAAAATAGACCATTATAAAATTCATAATAATCTATTTTTCGAATTACAGGTTTTCCCTTTTCGTCACTCATATATATATATGATTGTAGCAATATGATTATACTTGATCATTTTAATGCTAGTTCAAGTTCTAACACATATGATATTACAACTTATGACGATACTTCTAAAAGTTTTATGGTTACATATCAAAAACCTAATTATCTGAACTGGACGAAATATGAATTCTCGTAAGTTATAATTCTAAAAAATTATAAACTATCAATACTACTGTACTAATAATTTGCATATTGATAGAAAAGTTGATGGCATCGCAACACCAAAATTGAGTGGGTCTATCAATGCGCCAATTGATGGATCCACTTTCGTTAATCATTAAACTTTTTCCACAATCGATGGTCAGCATGCAATTGTCTATTTAATATCATATGGTGGATTTATGATTTCTAGTGAATATCCTAGATTTGCTATCTATGTGCATTTTGTAAAGGACAACTTGAATCAACAATCAAACCAAATATTGCTATATAAAACTCTTGATAATATGATCACGATTTTTAATTTAATAGAGTGTAAAGCTGGTTTTAATTCACCTACACTACACAGTAATATTTGCATTTTTCATTATGTCACTTTGAATAGAACACATGCTGTTACTAAACAAGTCATAAAATTCATAAAATTTTTATCAACTGGGTCAACAATTCAAGAAGATGTTCTTTCAGTAAAAGTTATGAATGTTTATAATATTTCATATGAAATTCCAAAAGTTATCCCATTGCAGTATGGTGGCGTAGTTATATTTAACGACACAAGTATTCTTAATAATAATAAATCAGTTCAAGTGGAAATGTCTAACTTAAATGTTACAAGTAATCGTCAAAAATTATTTGAAGCTACTGATGTAGCACTAGTTAAATATAATGTTTTAAATAATAACACCGCATGGTTTGTATATGGGAACAATTCGCATGACCGTAAACTAATTGCGATTGATGTGGAACGGATTTACAATGATTGTGAGTCAGAAATTTTTATTAAATAATTGTCAATACCATCTAGATACTTGTTAATGACTTTTATCAATAATTTTTTCATCAGTTGGTTATGAAAATCCTGCAATCCTTTCTTCTTATCCAACATTAAACATGACGATTCCTCTGTCTTTTAACGATCGAATTAACATCTCATTTTCTACCTTGATTGCTCCATCTTCTGGAAATATTTCAATTTACCAAATGATCAATCAAGATACTTTTCTAATGCGCCAAACGTACTCTGCTTCCTCTAATTGTGAAATATATAATAACGTTACTTTATCTTGTCTGTGTTTATCCAGTACTTTTAGTCGAATAAATAGTATTTATATAATCGTTGCTGATAACAACTTTGTCAAGGTTTCATCATTTAATGAACCTTTAAGGGGAATTAAAAGAGACATTTGGCGTGTAATGACACCAAAATGTGTGTATATAACGAGTTATTTTTATGATATTATTAACTAAATACACACTATTATTAATCTAACAATTTTTCAAAAGCACATAATTCTAAAATCGCTGGTATTTAATTATTGATATTATTTCATCAAATTATTTCATCAATTATATTTTCAACAATGAAATCGCAATTCTTAATTAAATTTATGTCTCCAGATTCAACACAAGCACTTTTACGTTTAAATTCCTATAGGTTTTCCTACTATTTAAGTCATGAACGATCACAATTTTTTAATGATTTGCTTCAACAAATAAAAAAAAGTATTTCTTTGATGAATGATCAATTGCAAGTAACCTATAATACTCAATCAGATCCCTCAGATTTCTCTAAGCTTTTAGTAGAATTTTCAATTCATAAGGCATCTGATCCTTTAAATGATCCAAGTACAAACGATATTATCAATGATCTAGATACTATTATAAAGAACAAATATATTAGCTCTCTTTCTGATAAACCATTTATGATGTTTCTTGACAATCAATATGGATTTCAAGCCAAACGTATGTAAAATAGTCTTAAAACTAAAAAAATTACGTTATTCTAATTTATATACAAATTTCTTTAAATTACAGCAAATTTATGGCTTGAGGTTAGGTTAAAGTTGTTGGCCTTACTTATTGTTTCAGTTATTTTATTTTTAATCTATTTATGGGCTCAAAGACGTAATCCAAAAGCAAGTTATATAATATTTTAATTTGTTATGATTAGTTTTGTTTCTATTTATTTTAATTTTTGCAATATTATAATTTGTAGGGTCAAAGTTTTGCTATAGTTAACCTGTTTTTGATTCTTTTGGATTTGTCTCTTGATTTCCTTTTCGTAATTGTAAATGGACATGATGTTCCGTCTTTATTTATTCCTGGGTATATCAATATTTTTATTTCATTCAGTTGATTGTTAATTATCTAATTTTGCAAGTTTAATTAATTATTATTTTTTAAATTGTAAAAAAAAAATAGCTTGGTTATTATTGTTTTATCTATATCATTTAATTTCGTTTCATCATTTTATCTAATCATAAATAAGAAAAATGAAAAAGATTTTAAAAACTGGTATGATGATGATAATAAAAAGATTGTTGCAATCTTTACAATACTTGCCAGTTCTGATATTGAAATTCTAAATATTTTATCATCAAACTTTGCTGGATTTAAATGTTTTTCTGCTCTATTGTTTAAAAAAAATTTTATTACTAATGTTGTTATGATTAATCTATTAATTGAAGATATTCCACAACTCATAATTCAAGTATACTATTAAATATTATATCAAATTCTGCTATTTTATTAATAGCATACTAATGTATCTTTTTTATTATAGGTTATTTACTATAAAAGTGTTATTATATATTCAATTATACCGCTTCTTACATTAATCACATCTACATTAGTTCTTACCAACAATATCGTGATAAATATATATAACTGTTCCCAAAAATTAAAAAATTGCTTCCCATCGAATAAAAAACAAGGTATAAAATAATTTTATTATTATTTTTTTTAATTTCATTAATCTAAAAACATATCTCTATATATTGGCTAATATTATTGATATTCATCTTTTTTTATTATTTTAGTTTGATGATTATTTATTTTTATGATTATTTTCGTATATAGTAAAATTAGTGGTGATAGTTTTACAAATGTTGTCATTGTCACTTACTATTTTATTTTTCTGATTTAAACAATTCTAAAATTATTACATTGTATTTATAATTATATTTTTACTTTTATTTTGTATTTATATTGATATATATTAAAGTTATTATTTTATATAATTATTGTATCTATTTATACTTAGTGCTATGTGTGTCACTTTTATTATATAATTTTTATTCTCAAAGAAAATTAGGATTCTACATTTGATAATTCTTATTCATTAAGTCATACAAAACTTATATAATTGGCTCTCATACTATAAACCAATGTTTAGCGACACGGCTATATGGATTTTTGTTCTATAAAATAATGGGTTAAAATTTTTTTGACTTTTAACGCTACATATTTTGTATACTTTCATGTTTACTTTTATACTAATTATACGTTATTGGGTTAGATGAATGAAAATCTATGCACATAATATTTTTATGCATAATGATGTCAATAAATTTAACTAGAATTCTTCACAAAAATAATAGATCTACCCACTATTTGAAAGCACAAACCTAACAATGCTAACATTAAAATTTACATACTGTTAAAAGCACTACTGACCATTGGTATGCAACTCAAACATTGGTGAATGTTTTTATTCGGAAAAAAATGATAAAGATTTTTTAAAGCAGTTAATATCAAAGAGGAATTTGCACAGTTGCAGAAAGTCTATATTGTGTTAATATGAGTCTTAAGTAAATCAAGAACCTGTAATACTGCTACTGGGAAATGAGTCCTATCTAAAGTACCATGAACGTAGTGGAACAAAGTGGATGGTTCAATTCAAGTTTTGCGTTTGTATACAAAATCTTAATTCTGATTGGATGTAGTGATCATATGATAAAATTTTATATCTGATCTTTGCTTTTTTTGGAAGTTCGGTTAACTTACATATCGCATAAATTGTATTCTTGATATT